CTTTCGTCTGCTCGGCCCTCCCCGGGTTTGCTGCTGGTTCTTCCCGGGTTGGCTACTATCCCTTCCACCTCCGTGGAAGGGCAGTTCCCCCTGGCCACAATCCCCACTTCCGCAGGGGAGCGGCACACTGCCGGCCGGCTCTTCTCGGGGGCTGCACAGGTGTTCCTTCAGCTAGATGTTCCCATTAGATGTTCATGGTGCATGCCGTCTCTCTCCTCCTTTATAGTCCTCCTCCACCAATCCCAACTCGGCTGCCCACACGCTGAGTACGCTGCTCTCCTCCAATCAGGAGCAAGTCCTACAGTTTATTGGTTGAACTGGAGGCAGCTGTGCGGAAGCCTCTTTCTTCTCTCCCAGCGCCATATTGTGGGAGAGCAGATGCATAGAATAAGTCTTAATTCCAGTAACAGTATAGTCCGGGTTGCTCCCCACACTATAGTTCTCTTTTTTGTTGTATCTTTCTCTGGTTTGGGAATTAAGGTAATATTGGCCTCACAGAATGGGTTTAGAAGGTACTCTCTCTCTCAATTGTTTTTGAGTAACTTAAGAATTGGTATTAATTCTCCCTTAACACTGGCAAAAAAAAATGACCTAAATGAAAGATCTCCGCGAGTGAGATCCCAGTGGAAAGAACAGGTCATCAAAGAAGGAGGTACCTTTCTCTGAAGGGAGGAGACAACTTCCACTTTGACTATGACCTTGTCCAAATATGATCAGAGTTGGCGAACTCAAAAGGCTTCCATATCCTTGGCAACTCATGACAAGAGCCTAGGGTGATTACTGACACCATAAACAAGAGTTGTCAATTTGTTAAGTCAACAATGGGAGTCACTGTGCACTAACTCCTCATGTAGGATCTCTTTCCTTAATGTGCTGTACATTGTGAATTAATGCTATAACTAGTACTCAAACAGTATTTTTCACTTTGTGTTTCCATGTGGGTGTAAACTGTTGAAAGCTTTACTTAATATACACTAAACTGATCTTCTGTATATAAAGAGAATTGAAAATGAATCTTGATGTGAATGGAAGGGGAGAGAGAGCAGGGGTGGGAGGGAAGTTATGGGATGGGAAAGCCATTGTAATTCATAAGCTGTACTTTGGAAATTATATTCATTAAAGTTAAAAAAATGCTCCCTTAAAAGTTTGGTAGAGGGGCCGGCTCTATGGCATAGCAGGTAAAGCTGCTGCCTGCAGTGCTGGCATCCCATGTGGGCACTGGTTTGAGTCCTGGCTGCTCCAATTCTGATCCAGCTCTCTGCTATGGCCTGGGAGAGCAGAAGATGGCCTAGACACTTGGGCCCCTGCACTTACATGGGAGACCTGGAGGAGGCTGCTGGCTCCTGGCTAAGGATCAGAGCAGCTCTGGCCATTGTGGCCACTTGAGGAGTGAACCAGTGGATAGAATACCTCCCTCCCTCCCTCCCCTTCTCTGTCTGTCTGTCTGTCTCTCTCTGCCTCTGCCTTTCAAAAAAAAATCTTTAAAAAAAGTTTGGTAGAATTCAGCAGTGACACTATCATGTCCTGGGTTTTTCTTTATGGGAGAGTCTTTATTACTAATTCAGTCTCAATCTTGGTTATTGGTCTATTTAGGTTTTCCACATCTTCATGCCTCAGTTTTGTTAAGTTATGTTTCCAAAAATCTATCCAATTCTTTTAGATTTTCCAATTTATTGGCATGGAGTTTTTTGGAATAATTCCTAATGATTCTTTCCGTATCAGTTGTAACATCTTTCTCATCTCTGATTTTATTAATTTGGGTCTTCTCCCCCAACCCTTTTTTGGTTAGTTGGATCAATGGTTAATTAATTTTAGGTTTAAAAAAAATCAGTTCTTCATTTCATGATCTTTTGTTTAGTTTTTTATTTGTATTTTTCCCTAATTTTTATTACTACTATTCTACTAATTTGGGGTTTGGCTTGTTCTTGTTTTTCTATGTTATTGAGATGCATTGTTAGATAATTTATTTGATAGTTTCTCAATTTTTTGATGTAGGCATTTACTGCTATAAACTTTCTTCACACTACTACTGCTGTATCTCATCAGTTTTGATGTATTGTGTTTCATTTCTATTTATTTCAAGGAATTTTTTGATTTTCCTTTTGATTTCATCTATGACTCACTGTTCATTCAGAGGCTTGTTGTTAGTCTCCATGTGTTTGTACATTTTCTAGTTTCTTTTGTTGTTAATTCCCATTTCATTCCACTGAGGTCAGTAAAGATACATGAAACGACTTCAGTATTTCTGAATTTGTTTAAACTTATTCTAATGGCCAGTATGTTACTAGAGAACGTTCCACACAATGATGACAAGAAGGGTGTTATGTAGCTGTGAGATTAAACGTTCTGTAGACATCTTTTAGGTCCACTTGGTCTATAGTGTAGATTAGTTATGTTGTTCTTTACTGATTTTTTATCTAGCTGATATGTCCATTGATGAAAGTGCAGTGTTTGAGTCCTCCATTTTCACTGTATCAGAGTTTTTGTTTCCCTTTAGATCCATTAGTGTTTGTTTTATAAAACTGGGTGCCCTGGCAATGGATACATATATATTTACCATAATCACATTTTCTTGTTGAACGATCCCTTAAATTATTACATAATGACCTTTGTCTCTTTGAACAGTTTTTATCTGATTTGATAATAACTATTCCTGATTTTTATTTCCATTTTCCATGAAGTATCTTTTTCCATCCTTTGATTTTCAGTCTGTGTGTACCTTTATTTGTGAAGTGTATTTCTTATAGGCAGCATATAGATGAGTACTACTTTTTTGTCCATTAGCCAGTCCATATCTTTTAACTGGAGAAGTTAGTCCATTTACATTCAAACTATTATTTTTATTTTTTTTTACTTTTAATTACCTTTTAACAGATTCAAGATGATTTGTAGATAAAAGTCTAAGAACATAATGATAATCCCCTCCTCTCCCTCTCTCCTTCAAATCCTCCTTCCTTTTTTCTTTAGTTTTTGAGATAATATATTTTAAATGTCCATTACAGTAAAAAGGCTTAATATTTCACTGAATAGGAAGTTTAACAAGGAAAAAACCCAGTTTTTTAGTTTAGTGGGAATATAGACAATGGATATTAACAATAATTGAATGTCATTTATACAAATGACCATTTCATCCATATACACTTTTTTTAATCAGTTAGTTCTTCATAATTTATTTAGTGAAATAGAACAAATGACAATGTAACATTTAAATATTTCCTGTGGTTGCAAGGTAACAATTAAGTTCATTTAGACTTTAAGCCATTTGCTTTCAACTGTTTTTATACAGGAATAATTTTATGCTGACTGCAATGCAAATAATTATAAATTCCATAGATACCACATATCAGGGAAAACATGATATTTTAATTTGTGGGACTGTCTTATGTCACTACATATAATAATTTCCAGTTGCATCCAATTTGTTGTAAAAGACAGGATTTCATCTTTTTTTTTTTTTTTTTTTTGACAGGCAGAGTGGACAGTGAGAGAGAGAGAGAGAAACAGAGAGAAAGGTCTTCCTTTGCCGTTGGGTCACCCTCCATTGGCCGCTGTGGCTGGTGCGCTGCAGCCGGCGCATTGCGCTGATCCGAAGCCAGGAGCCAGGTGCTTCTCCTGGTCTCCCATGGGGTGCAGGGCCCAAGCACTTGGGCCATCCTCCACTGCACTTCCCTGGCCACAGCAGAGAGCTGGCCTGGAAGAGGAGCAACCGGGACAGAATCCGGTGCCCCGACCGGGACTAGAACCCGGTGTGCTGGCGCTGCAAGGCGGAGGATTAGCCTACTGAGCTGCGGCACTGGCCAGATTTCATCCTTTTTTAAAAAAATAGCTGAGTAATATTCCATAGCATATATGTACCACATTTTCTTTATCCAGTCATTGGTGATAGGCATCTGGGTTGATTCCATATTCTAGCTATTGTGAACTGAGCTGCAATAAACATGGAGGTATGTAACATGAAAGATAGCTCTTTCATATGCTTTAAACTCATTTCATTTGGGTAAGTTCCCAGGAGTAGGATGGCTGGGTCTTATGTAAGATCTATTTCCAAATTTCTCAGGAATCTCCATACTGTCTTGCACAATGGCTCTACTAGTTTGCATTCCCACCAACAGAGGATTAGGGAACCCTTACCAGCATTTATTGTTTTTTGATTTCTGTATGAGAGCTATACGAACTGGGGTGAGATGAAATTTCATTGTAGTTTTGATTTGCTTTTCCCTTGATGGCTAGTGATCCTGAGCATTTTTTCATGCATCTGTTAGCAATTTGAATTTCAGAAGATCATTATTGATAAGCAATGATTTAGTCCTGCCATTTTCCCATGAATATCCCTATTGTTCATTTTGAATCTCCTTTGTTCTTTTAGTAGGAAGTTTTCTGTCTTCACATTCTTTCAAGATGCTGAATGTCTCTCTGTTCCTGAGTTCAGGGTCATGTTAGTCGTGCAGCTCCTGCAAGGATCACTAATGACTGACAGCCAACTTGTAGGCAGCTGTTCTCTTTTCCCTGCAACTTTCAAACCCATGCAGTATGGTGGAAAAGAACGTGGACTTGGAGAATTATCTAACGCGATTCACATTCTTAGTAGACACCTGCCTGATCATTAAAGAAGGATCCTTGCTTGTGAACCAAAGTCAGGGGAAGATTATGATTTGAGACATTAGGCAGACATAAGCAGGTGAGCCAGAAGCAAAGGCAGGGTTTTAGGGTTCTACCCATCTATTCTGGAGAAGGCCAAGAGGGTGGGTAAAGCACAAGTGCTCTCAGTCTTCCAAATCTTAACAATTTTACTTTAAAGGTTTCAGAGTATTCTAATGAGATCTGATACGATATTATGGAAAATTGTCTTTTCAAATGTTATCCCTCAAAATGAAATTAATATGAATATTAGTTCCTATTTCCCTGCAAATTGGAGAAACAATTATTGTTGTTTAAATTAAATCCTTAAAAACTTTAAACTTGACTACCCAGAGGAGCATGGAGAAGGTAGCAGTACGTACAGGGATCCAACAAAGGCCACATCAAACCAGAAGGCCAGGCCATGGATGAGGCCAGATTGCACCATCTGAAACACAAAGGGGATTTCTACTCTGCAAAGAAATAAAAGAAGAAATAGTTGGAGTTACTTTTTTCTGTTGTTGACAGATAAACTAGATATACTTGTGAGATCAGGAGGGTGTTCATCGAATGTTCTCAGAAGCCCTTCTGCCCAGCAGTCAGGCTCACGCAGTGAGCGATTCACGCTTGGGAGATGCTGCATATCTGAGAAGCTTTGCTGTTAGACAAAACCCTGCCAGGACCACAGCGCTGGGTTGTGATGACCCAGAGCCGCACAGGGTGAGTGTGGCATGTGGAGCGGAGTTTGACTGCTCAACAGGAGGGTGACTCAGGACACAGGGGAGAATCATGCTTCAAGGAGCCAAAACAGGCTGCAGCAGCTCCCTAAGTGACTGTTTAGAAGGGAAAGGCTCCTCAGGATTCTAAAAAAATGGAGTGAATTACAAGGGGAATATGGAGCTCAGGAGGTCATTGCCGTAGTTCATTTACTTTTCAGGGAAGCAATTTAACTTCCCACCAGGCTACAGTAAGAGTCTGCAGAAGCTGCAAAGGTTTATGACGAATGCAGAACTATGGGACAAGAAGGAATAATGGAGAAGGCACAACAAAATCTAGATGCTGCTCCTGTTTTGGCTGTGGGATTTTGGAAAGCTATTTAAGTTGTCTGAAACTTAACATATTCTCTTGTTGAAAAGTGAAAAAAAAAAAAATCACTCTCCTACCTCCCTCACAAAATTCTTGTGTGTCAAAAGCAGAAAATGTGTATCACAAGGCTTTGCAAACTTTAAAGCACTTGACCACTAAAAGGGAATATAACTGGTCCATTACTAGGGCTGTATCACTCCAAGGAGTATTATTATTATTGATACTTAGAGGTTTGCAAAGGAAGCTGCATGTTACTTGCTTTTGTGGTGCCCCCAAGGGCTTAACTTCTTTTACCCTGCAATAATCAAAATATTTCTAGAGTTTTCCACTGCTCATAATTACATTTAATTTATTGGTCTCACACTTTTCTTTGCATCCTTTGAAATGGACTATGAGCTCTTCAAGGATAGAAACTTTAAAAAATTACTTTTTGTTCCTGTACAAGTATCAACACAGTAGCCAGCACAAGCTAGGCTCTTGATAAACAACTGTTGAATCAATGTACAAGTATATGTATGGCATCTCTGGAAAGTCAACCTAGACAGAATTTTTAAAATTTCCCTAAGACTCATAGAGTAGACCAGAGCAGCAAATTCAGTGGAAGTCAATTTTATCCAGACCACTGGCAGTTACTGGAGTTGTTCTCTGATGCATTTCCCTGGCTCTGAGCTGAGGGTAGGATTGCATTTCTCCAGCCACTTGAGCTCAGGTGCTTCCAGGTGATTTGCTCTGAACAACTAATGGTGGGACCTGTGCCATTTCCAGGCAGAAGCTTTAACTGCTAGGGTATTCTCTTCCATCACTCATTCTTCCTCCTTAGTAGCCAGCATTTTTCCAGATGAAGCTGCTGCCCTGGCCAAATTTCTCATCTGCAGGATGCATGGTAGAGCTAAAGCTGGTGCAAAGCAGATAAACAGCACAGCAGACAAAGACACCTGTGATATCATAAGCCACTGAGGCTTCTTTTTGTTACTGCAGTATATTCTACCACCTATGCAAACTGATGTGGGATGCACTTTGTACATCATGGCCCCAAGATAGATTTTTTTTTCTTTTTGTTAGCTGTGATCCTTGCTTCCTCATTGGCTAAAAACCTGGCTGGATGTTACATGTATTATTTAGAAAAAATTCACAAACATTTATCTTCATAGGGAAAAAAATAACAAATACTAATGAAAAGCCACCCAAAAGGGGACTCATATCCCCCTCCAAGAAAATGGAACCAGGCCAAGCTATGCAATCTCAGGGCAGCCTCTTCAAGTGCAGGGATAAAACCAATTACTGAGTTTCCCCTTGAAAATGAGCAGGTGCTTATACAAGATTAAGCACAGTAGCTACATATAGCACTCAACAAGTCATAGATCTTGTTCTTTCCATTCACTCAGACATATACTGGTCTGAGTGCATTTACATATATGCTCTCACCCTGAGAAGGAGTAAATGATTAAAAGCGTAGAAATTGGAGCCTTCAGAAAGGTTCAAATCCTAGCTTAAACACACTCTGTGACTTTACACAATTTCTCATTCCACTCTGCCTCACTGTTTCACCTATAAAGTGGGCATAACAATCATACCATTTACATAGATTTGTTGTGAATATTAAAGGAGTTATTTTATCTGGGTACTTCAAAACCTGAGTAGAAAATGGAATTCAAAGGTAAGTTTGGTATAATTTTTTAAAAAATTTATTCTTAGTTTTTCATAATATACATTTGCTATTAACTTTTTGAAGACCCCTGTAAATAAAGGGCCAGTTACACTGGGTAAGTTAACAAAAACTAGGCCATTAGGATTGTTATTCAATTCTTAAAATAATCATAAGAAGGAGACATCATTATCTTCATTTCATAATAAATAAAACTGGCATCAATGCAATCTATTCATGCATGTGTCCCTCATCTAAAATATTTCCCACATGAGAGCAGCAAAAGTTCACACAAAATTTTGGAATGGATGATGGAGAGAGATTTTGAAAATCAAGAGCAACACTGATACATACTAACCTATGTAGATCTTCCTCTTTGGCATCCAGAAAGTTGACTGTGTATTTGATTGTCCGAGCCATCAAAATCCTAACATCGAATGTGTCCTTGGGGAAAAAGTCAAAGATGTTATCTCTTTGTCAATATGAACTGAACTCAAGCAAGTCTATCTTTCTTCTTGCAATTATAAGTGAATACGAGTTTGGATTTGAAAGGCACGATCTTAGAATAATATTAATAAAAAATAACTAACATGTATAGAATGCTCACCAAATGACAAGCACTAAGTGTTTAGTTCTTTCCTGATGCTAAGTGCTTCACTAAGGTGAATCAGTCATTCCTCTCGATGCCTTTGGAGCAGGGATTTGGTGTTTTTCAGTCACCCAGGAGTGAAGAGTTACATCTTGTCCACATTTATTCGAAGAAGTTCTGTATGAACTTAGACACCCTCAGGAACAGATGTGATAAATGACCTCAGCTTGGCTAATCAGAGCATTGCATTTCCCATAGAAGATGGTAATTGGTTCGTAGAAGGGCATATGATCCAAAGCAGGGTAATCAGGCTCTGTCTATACTGACACAGTTTTTGTCCAATGTCTTAGGAAAAGAAACTGTTTCATGGGGGACCCATGGTTCTAAGTCATAGGCTGCAGTTCCAACAGTCATCTTGCTACATGAGGGGAGATGCTGTCTAGGAAATGAGTTAAATCAGAAGTGGGGATAAGTAGTGAGGATAGAAAAACCAGACCCTGGCAACATTGTATGAGCGCTTACAATGGGTCCTTGAAGCTCTATGTCTAGGTTTGCAGTATTTTAAGGGACACTGTGTTTTAGCTTAATCCAGTTTAGTTTGGTTTTCCTTTCACTTACAACTGAAGACTTTCAGATAGCAGAAATGTAAAGGCTAGACAGCTAGATGGAACCACAATTGAAGTCCAAATTTGGTTGACAGTAAAGCTGTTATGTTCTAAGCTGTTATTCAACATTGCCTCTTCTGTTACACCTTGGGCCACTACAGTCAATATGAGGATATGAATAAGTATGTTTGTTGAGGGTATGAAGTGGGTAAGAGTGTTGGGGGGATTACTGAAATGTAATTAGAAAATCTCCTTGCTTTCAACTGTAGCCATACTTTCATAGCTGGAAGACATGAAAACTTGGTGCTCTAAGAAACTTTTTCCCCCTCTTCTGAGTTGACAAAGCCTGGCAAGATTGTGCACGCCAAGGGGATCAGTGACTGAGGGAATGAATCAGTAAGTCAACACATGGGGAAAATGTAAGAGAGGACACTTACTACTATAGGCTGTCTGAAGTATTCATCTATTGCTGCACCCCGGAGACTGGACAGGTTGACCCCATAGAAGCACTGCTGGTACCTAAAATGGGTAGGACAAAGAATTGCAGTGTATCTTGTCCCTTGCTTGAATCTCTGAGCTCCTACAGCTCTGATATGCAGCACTGCTGCTTCATGGATCCTCCAAGTTGATCCTAGGGCAAGTATTAGAACATGTTAAAGGTATCTGGGCTACGGGAAGTGGCAGGCTGCAGATCTGTACTTGCCCTGGGGTGAAGAGAGAAAGAAAGAAATGAATAGTTGGATAGAAATCGCTTATGATGGATTTTTGAAAAATATATTTTGAGGGGCAGAAAGACCTTTGGGTTCCTATCCTCTCTGGATCTCGTGTTTCACAAGTGGCCTCTTGTTCTGTCCTGGCCAAATGCTGAAGTGCCATTTACTTGGCTCTCACACTATCCTAACCCAGGGTATGACTAGAACTCAAAAGTCTCTCAACCCCACCACAGCTTAAGGAAATAGATTTCCTTTCTCCATTTGTCCATAGACGCAGTCCTATGCCTTCCTGATGGGCTGTGACGGCTGACAGGAGGTACTGACTCAGGAGTATGCAAGTGCTGATGGTGAAGAACTAAAGCCAGCTCATGCCAGCTCATCACAGCTCACTGTCACCATTTCTTTCCAGTTCCATCTGATCCAGAGAGATTGGCAAACAGCACCAATTATATCTCCAGCCCAGCTCTCTGTCCACACTCCCACCCACACCCGCTAAGAGGCAGATGTAAAGCATTTACCAGCATACAATCAGCTCTGCCTTACCTTCAGGTACCCATAGCAACTGAGACCATGCTTGGCACATACTTGGCTAGCAGTCTGCAATATTTAGAGAGGTGATCTATGGTATGGATTAAGAGGGGCTTTGATATCAACTTTGCCACCGATTAGTAGTATGACTTTGACAAATCACATTTATCCTGTTCCCCAGATTCTTTAGCTCTGCAATGGAAATAGCTATAACCCTACTTTCCATAGTTACCTTATGAGGGTAAAGGAAAGCATTTTGAACTATGCTTGGCATTTTGTATCTGCAGTAAGAGTTGGCAGGTGTTCTCTGAATGTCTCATTCTCAGGTCAGCACTGGGGCCCAGGGTGGAAATTCCCAATCTTTCTGTGCCATGGCATTATCTGGGAGAGCTTCTTAAGAATTCAAATTCCCAGACTCAATCCCAGAAAAACCTGGGACCCTTATCACTAGAGACAGACAGACTTTTTCACTTATTAGGCTTCCCTAAGAAGGGCCTATGTATATGAGAGTAATTCAAAACATTCATGGAAAATGAAATCAAGTTATTTAGTTGCTCAAAAAATTAGAAACCATGCATAGAGGAGTCTTCAAAATGTCTGTGGAGAAAGACTAAAGTATGCCTGGATTTCAATTTTTTGGCACCAAGGTAAATATCTTTCAACTCCATTTTCCCACAAAATTTTTGAAGTATCCTTGTATATGTTGCATAGCCTGAATCGGATGGGACCTGAATTCATCAGTTCTACATCCACACCCATCATCCTACAGGAAAGACCGAAAAACAAAACAATACAGAAAAACACAGGACAGTCATAAAACAATCTTTGGTTCAGTTTGATGAGAGTATCAGGCAAAGCAGGCTCTAGATCAGGAGTCAAAGACCCAAGGTCCACACAGGGAATGGTGAGGAAAGACAGGCTTAACCACATCAAGTAAGCAACTGGTCCTCAACAGCAAGCAAAACTCAACCTGCTGAACTACTTGCAGACTTTTTACGAACTACTGGCTACCCATAAGCCTTTGATTATGTCCCTGTTTACCTAGAACACTCCGGCCCTCTTTTACCCTGTTAATTCTCACTAAATCTTGAAGACTCACCTCAAATACTTCAATTTAAAAACTCACAGCTCCCCTGGCACATTTCTAACTCCACCATTTGGGGCAAGTCTGATTGAGCATGTCCCAAATTGTATATCTCCTCCCTCTCTTATTCCCACTGTTATATTTAACAGGGATCACTTTTCAGTTAAATTTAAACACCTAAGAATAATTGTGTGTTAATTACAGAGTTCAACCCATAGTATTAACTAGAACAAAAAAAATACTAAAAGGGATAAAGTATTATATTGTACATCAACAATCAGGACAAGGGCTGATCAAGTCACTGTTTCTCATAGTGTCCCTTTCACTTCAACCAGGGGATTCCAATACAATCCCATCAAGATTGCATGTACCAATGCCATCTCACTAGTCCAAGTGATCAATTTCAGTTCACAATTGATCACACTGATAGGTCTAAGAGTCAAAGGGATCACACAAACAAGACTAGTGTCTGCTAATACTAGCTGATAGAATCAAAAAGGGAGAGAATGATCCAACATGGGAAGCGGGATACATAGCAGACTCATAGAATGGCAGGTGTCCTAAATAGCACTCTGGCCTCAGAATCAGCCCTTAAGGCATTCGGATCTGGCTGAAGAGCCCATGAGAGTATTCTAGGCATGGAAAGCCAAGACACTCTGGAAAAAAAAAAAAAGACCTAAATGGAAGATCTCTGCGAGTGAGATCCCAGTGGAAAGAATGGGCCATCAAAGAAGGAGGTACCTTTCTCTGAAGGGAGGAGAGAACTTCCACTTTGACTATGACCTTGTCTAAATAATATCGGAGTCAGCGAACTCAAGAGGCTTCCATAGCCTTGGAAAATCATGACTAGAGCCTAGGGAGATTTCTGACACCATAAACATAAACAAGAGTGTCAAATTGTTAAGTCAACAATAGGAGTCACTGTGTACTTACTCCCTATGTAGGATCTCTGTCCTTAATGTGCTGTACATTGTGAATTAATGCTATAACTAGTACTCAAACAGTATTTTACACTTTATGTTCTGTGTGTGTGCAAACTGATGAAATCTTTACTCAATATATACTAAATCGATCTTCTTTATATAATTGAAAATGAATCCTGATGTGAATGGAATGGGAGAGGGAGCAGGAAATGGGAGGAGTGCGGGTGGGAGGGAAGTTATGAGGGGGAAAAGCCATTGTAATCCATAAACTGTACTTTGGAAATTATATTTACTAAATAAAAGTTAAAAAAATAAAAAAATAAAAACTCATAGCTCTATGTTACAATTTAGTATTTAAGTTTCACCCCCTTTAAAGCTTTTTTTATCCTTTAGCAGTTAATGAGGACCCTAGAGTATTATCAGGAGTAAAATTATCTACCTACATTTATTTATTTAATGACTGAATTCTTCCATGAACAAAGTGGAGAACTTGGCATCCTACATGGTCTTTCATCTGTAAGAATGATAGGGAAACAAAAGATCATTTACCCATGATTCTTCAGAGTCATTATTTGTTTTCTAATTTATTTATTCTTCCACCAAAGGCCAGAGCCAAGCTGGCCCAGAGACAAAGCTGAGTAATGCTGTGTATCATGTTATAGTTGCATATATTAAAAGCAAGATTCCTAAAATCCAAGGAAAATGTTTGAAACCATAGGTTTAAGTGATCCTTTCACTATTCAAAGCGAAGATGGGCATGTTCTTAGGGAACTAGTTGAGTTTACAAAAGCCCACCACGGGAGGGAGATGGGGAAGGATAGGGAAGAAAGAACAAGGAAGAAAAATAGGGAGAACAAGAGAGGTAATGGGGTGGGAGAGCCAGAGACAAACAGGAACAGAAAGAATTTCTCAGATAGCCCAGAAAGTCTCCCCTTGTACGCCCTTTAGAATCCCCTGGGAAGCTTTCATCAAGCGCTATGCCTGGACTCCACCTTGGGGATAGCTTCCCAGCATCTGTTTCTAAATTCAACAGGTGACTCTAGTGTGCAATCAGGGCTGAGCACCACCATGTCAGCTGTTGCAGAATCCTGGCCAAGCAGGTGGAAGAGGAAACTCCATGGGCACAGATAGCCTTCTACGTGGAAGTGAGTTGGAACCTGCTCTCTCTTCACTGAATACAACCTCAACTCTCAGAAGGGATGCTACTGTGCCATTTGCTTTCCATGTTTGGCCAATTAAAACCCAGCAGTCATAATCAGTGTGGTGTGGTGCAAATGGGCACCATGCTTGGGGCAGACACGAGAGCTGTGAGCAAAGATCCCACTGCCCAGGTTTTAAAAGTTTCTGGCTGGATCAAATTTCTTATTTGTAATATTTAGAAGTCTGAACTACACTGTAATGCCTCATAACATAATTAAAGCCAATGGGAACTGGCATGTCTCTGAGTCTCCTAAGATACCTTTTAGGTAGGAGGGATGAAGAAACTAATTTTTTTGAGGTAGGGAGAGAGCACACAATTTTATGCTCTAGCTCACTTCCCAAATACTATTAAAGGCTTGAGCTTGGCCAGGCCCAGCCTTGAGCAGGGACCTCCACCCAACTTTACATTATAGGCAGTAGAGACCCCGATTAATTGTGTTACCACAGCTTCCTCCAGGATATGCACTATCAGGAAGCTGAGCTCAGCAGCTGGAGATGGGCACTAAAGCCAGGTACTCTGATAGGGGATAGAGGCTTCCCGGCGGGCATCTGAACAACTCAGACTAATGCCTGCACAGAAAATGGAGCTTTTGACTTGGGAGCTAGGGATCATTTCCACTGTTTTCATCGTGTGTGGGTTTTCTTGTCCAGGCTAACTTGCAGCCTCTCTAGAAGCACATAAGGGAAGCAGTCTATGTTTTTCCCTCATGTTCATATTCCCACTTCCTGTCAGGCTTCCTGAGGATAACTCTTCACATTTTCCCTCAGCACCATCATACGTGCAATGCCTAGAAAGGGCTGCAAATGCAGGGCAGAAGGATAGCAATCTTGCTCTTAGCTATTCCCACGCACACCCAGGGCACAGAGCAGGAGGACTCCACGTCTCAGCACACTGCCTTCACACCCCCCACACAACCCAGCTTGAGGTGAACCTCCCACTCTGGTCTCTGCTGTGTTCTCATCTCTTCTCTATTTACCGTGGTCTTTAACCCTTCCTCCTCCTTTTTTTTTTTTTTTTTTGGACAGGCAGAGTGGACAGTGAGAGAGAGGTCTTCCTTTTTCCCTTGGTTC